TTACACAAAGTGAAATCATACAATATGTATTTTCTGCATAGCTTCTTTTGCCAACATTATCTGTGTGAGATTCATCCACATTCTTGTATGTGGCTATAGTTTATTTATTTTCATAGCTGCATAATATTACATGATATGATATGAAGATACTACAATTTACTCATCCATTCTTGTTGATGGGTATCTGAGTTGTTTCTAGTTTAGGGCTCTGAAAAATAAGTTGCTATCTATAGCCTTGTACATGTCTCTTGGTGCCATGTGCACAGATTTCCATTGATTATAAAGTTAGAGTATACTTAACATAGTAGATAATTACAAAACTCTTTTCTAATGCGATTATACCAATTTACACTCACTCTAGTACTGTATGAGAGTTCCCATTACTCTACAACCTTGCCAGTATTCATTCTTGTCACTGATTTATTTCTTAATTTAGGTTAATGTAATTTTTAGTTCTAGAATTTCTATTTGGTTCTCTCTTTTTTCAAAAAACATTTTCCATGAATTTTTTTTATAGTTTTGAATCAGTGTCAAAATTATCAACCTTATTTTAATTTCCTTGAACATATTAAACACAGTTCTTGAAACGTCTATTCCTGATAACTCAGTAATCAATTCCAGTTACGTCACTGGACCAGGAGCTACACTTCTCCATTAGCAGATAAACTCCTCACCTTGCTTTTTGTAAATCTCCTTTATTTATCCCTCTCTCTTCACTAGGGCCACAAATACCAAAATGAGTCAATTCAGGCTGCTATACAGTGACAGCAGCCCTGGTGGTACAGTGGTTAAGAGCTACAGCTGCTAACCAAAAGGCAGGCAGTTTGAATCCACCAGCTGCTCCTTGGAAACCCTTCAGGGCAGTACTACTTTGTCCAATAGGGTCAGTCACTATGAGCTGGATTTGGTGTTGGTTTATACTGTGACAACGGGTTTGGTTTTGGTTTATACAGGTTTGGTTTTGGTTTATACAGGTTTGGTTTTGGTTTATACAGTGACAGTATTAGTGACAGGTGAAACTCAGAGAGGCCAGCTTGCAGATGCACAGACTATTAGACATTCTTAAAAAAAAAAAGAAAAAAAAAAGGTGCCATAAATATGTAGCATGTTTGAAGGGCACTAGGAATACTATTTTAAATATCTATCTCTACCCCAACTAGCTTACCAGAGTACTTGAGATGTTATCAATTAGAAAAACCTAACCTTTAGGTTAGGAGTTTGTATTTCCAAGATTCTCCATGCTAAAATGCAAATATACACAGAAAGGTAGTAGACAGGGTCTCTGACACATCAGATTGTTTTCCATTATAACATAAAGTCGACAGTAGAGCCCAGCAAGAGTAGGACAGATAAGTACTGGGAATCTGGGGTGGAAGAAAAGTATTGTTTACAAAGCACTGCCTAGTAAACCATACTTTTAGTAGTTTAACCTGACTGAATGCCTGTTCTGGGTAACACTGGTCATATGGACAGGATACGAAAGCCGTAGGCCCTGGAAAAAAATGGAAGAAGAGGAAACAGAGGTAGAGAAAGACTGAAAGGAAGATTCAAAACAAATTAACCATGTCACAGTTTGGTTTTAGGCTGACTGGGATGGCCAACCTCCACGGACATAATCCCAGGGCAGGAGCAAAGTACGAAGCAATCCTGAATACCAGCTCTATCTTTGGTTACCAGAAAGCCTGGGAAAAGTAGAAAAATCTCTTAGATCAGTGATTGCCTATGTCAAATACAGCATAGAAGACTTCTAAACATTTCTGTTCCTCCACCCATTTCCTCACTCCACACCAAACAAGGTGAAAAAATGATGGGGGAGGGGGTGTGGAGAGGGGAAAGTGGACCCATGTAGTTTGAGAAAGTTCTCCAAATGATCCCTATATCCTCTATAATGACAACTCCTTCCTCCACCTAATTTTAGTTAAACCCCAGTTCCACAAAAACTATAAACAGATCCTGTACTGTATCTTTCAGTCCAACGGAGTTATTAAAATTCTTACATTTGAACAAACACACGATTTTGATCGCCACCTAGTGCAGAAGACAGAAAACCACAAGCTAAACTGAATATTAGGAATCTAAAACTATCAAACACTGGTTTCTATACTCTGACAGCCGAAAACAATTTTTGAAAGTATATGCAAGGTGATTTTAGACAGCACAAGGATGAATGTTATTTTAATCACTTTGTATCTATATCAATGCATATTAGGAAAACATAAACAACATTTCAAACCCATCATTTCACAGATAATTACTATTTAAGATAAGGCTTAATTAACCCTAATGTTAAAGAGTAAGTAGGTTTTTAAAAAAATACTAAATTATAATACTACACAGGTGGTACTGGGATATGGCAAAAGTGAAAATGACCCTCAAAAGACTAAGTTTCAGAAACAGTGGTCTAAGCTGATTCTTCTAATGGAAGATACTTTTCCTTCAGTGTGTCTGAGTTTTATTTATGCATATAGAGTGAAATAATCTGTAATTTAATTGACACAGCAATGTTTTAAATTTTTCCTCATCAAACAATAGTTTGTTTTCTTACACAAAGAAATTATTCCACAAGCAAATTAGCATTTAATACTGCTAAGTCCCTACAAATATCTGTCTTTCTTAAAAAATGCTTACCTAGGTAGTTACGTCATTGATTGTACATAGTTGATTCCCTCTAATTTTGACAAGTTTCATCATAGAAAATATATTTCCATTTAATCTACACAGTTAAATTATCAGAGAGCTGTCTGAACTCCTGCCACCTTATTGTAATAGAATGCACATTAATGACCTATATTCTATTGTCACAGTGGTTAATTATTTATCACAGAATTTAGAGGTTTCAAGAAAACTCTGAGCATTCAATGAGCACTCATGAGTTCTTATACTCACTAATGGTGAATACACAAGTGAAAATTACAAGAATTGTTTTATTATCTTCTCTGATGATCACTATAACAATGATAAATTTCTCCTGTGATAAATTTCATACTGTCACAATGGCAAAAAACCATTGCTGTCAAATCGATTCCAACTCATAGCTACAAGAAAGACTTAACATGAAGTACCTAGAAAATGGAAACAGAATTATTAAGACTAGTTTAAACCAACCCTCCTTCATCATCTGGATTAGGACCACTGCAACTCTAAAGGAAAGCAAGATTCTGCTGGCAAGGAATAGGTGGAATTGTTGAATAGTTGTTGGGTAGCTTGCTAATAGTATCATCACACTATCCCACCTCAAGCACTTAGTTTCTCTCTGAGGAGGCAACTGTTATTATAGTTTCCTATTTATTTCCCCAGAGTTAGTTTATACATATTGTGTTATGTATAATCCATTGATTTATTTTTCCCCAAATGGTGGCATACTATACATACTGCTCTGCACTTTACTTTTTTCACATAACAAAATAAGTTGAAGACTTGTTTCATTTTAATATGTAATGTTAAATGGGTGTGTAATGTTATATGGATGTGCCATTATTTATCCAGCCCTTTAAAAACAGATATTTTGGTTGTTTTCAATCTTTTTCTATTATAAAAAATACTGCACTGAACAACCTTGTACATATATTATTTAACTTGCAAAATAATGCTTAAAAGTGAAATTGCTGAGTCATATAATCTTTGGAACTGGCTGCTGGAATTTTGGGGGCAGGGATCATATTAAATTTAGACTAAACTTTAAGGAGAATGACGTCTTTATTTTAGAGTCTTGCCATCAAGAGCACAATGTCTTTTTACTACATGTTATTATTTTATTGATTCTAAGATATACACTTAAACATTTCTGAAATACAGATGTATTTTAAAATCCAGGACATCTTTCAATCACTGTCAGCCAGGTGGCAGTCATGATAATAGTTATCAGTGCCTGTGCATGTATAAACTTGGTTGTTATTTCTGATGGCATGACAGGTAACTGCTATCCCTGGTCATTTCAGTCATCAAACATTTTAGAACCATTTGAAGAAATATGAGTCAGTGGTTGTTGGAAAACCTTCTGCAACACCTTCTGGTAAGACCAGGAAGTGCAAGCATCAAAGCAAAAAAAAAAAGTGTCAGTGATTTGCAAGAGACTCTTTTCAAGAAATGCTACATCATCAATGCTACAAGGATGATTTTGTAGAGAAAAAAACACTGATTTTGATGACTCCAAGTCAAAAAGCAATCCAGAAAAATCCGACTCAATGTGAAGCGTTAGCAATATCTGATAAACTTTGTATTTACATTTTCATTTTTATAAGTGTACAAGAGCTATATATGATAAAATGTCAAATAAGTCACAGAGTTCTTTCATTAATTATAAAATAAAAACTCTAAGTCATAAGAAAGTACCGCATCAGAGGCATTGGCAGAAGTTTTTCTTTCTTACTGTTAGATAAAAAAATGCAATTTTTAATCAGCAGCATTTCAGATTTGATGGAATAATCCTATTTTATGTCTCTCAGGAACATCTAAAAGTTTCTCTCATACAGATTTTGCACATTCTTGTTAAGGTTATTCCTATGTATGTAATCTCACTTTACTGAATTCTCTTACTGTTTATAATGACTTTTCAATCGATTCTTTTGGGTTTTCCAGGTATGTAAAAAAAATAAAATTTAGGTTTGAATTATCCTAAACCATCTGCTAGATATAAGCCTAATGAAGGTAAGGATTGTGTCTATTACTTCTATTGTTCTATCCCAGCACCTATCATATCACCTTGCACAAAACAGGTAATCAATACATATTTGTTAAATGAATGATATGAATGCATCTTACCTCTTAAAACTGACCTTAACTCCTCCCCTCACAGAGATGTTGAGTTTAGCAAAAAAATCAAACATAAATGAGGAAATAGTATTCATGTTCATTCCCTCCTCCACACACATACATACATATAAATCCTATAAAAACTAGATATTTTATAATCAAATCTACATATGCTTGCTTGTAATTAGTTCTATTTTAATCATTAAAAATCCTAATTAAAAAATAAGCATTTCATTTTAAACATTTACCTTTTAGATCTTAGATCTGATGAATCAAACTGGATATTCATAGGTCCAGGATTTATTTCATGATCTACCTCAGAGATGAGAAGATGCCTAGAATCACTATCCACATTTGCCATTTTTCTCAGAGTCTAAGCACTGAAGAAGTTAGTCCTATAGATCACAAAAGACAAATGATTTAAAGTTTAATTAAAAATTATTTTATTATTTATAAGTAATAAACTTACATGCATAAGGAATTGGACAAATACGGGATTTGTTAAAAATATCTTAACGAGGTACATGCCTGAAATATTTATTTCATCAGAAACTTGCCAAGTTGGAGTAACCATTGCCAAAAAAGCCCACTGCTATTAAGTCAATTCTGACTCATAGCGACCCTAATGACAGAGTAAAACTGCCCCATAGGGTTTCCAAGGCTGCAATCTTTCCAGAAGCAGACTGCCACATCTTTCCTCCACGAAGCAGCCAGTGGGTTGAAACCACTGACCTTTCGGTTAACAGCCAAACGCTTAACCATTGTGCCAAAAGGGCTTCTTAAGTTGGACTGCAGTTACTTATTTTTTAGCTTAATAAAAAAAGTAAGTGCAGCAATTCATTTCCAGTAATAAAACAAATGAGGCTATTTGGATCAATTTTCCTATAGAAAACAACTAAAAATTCAGGACAAAATGAAAGCATCCAAGATAATTTATTTTCTTTAGAAAATCAGGTCAATTCTAGGTGAAACTAAGGAACCTAAGGAGATAAGCTGCTCAATGGACACTGCTTCTGCCCTCAGCATATTTGCTGTACTTGGGATTTTCAAGGCCTTGTGAAGTTTAGGGAAAGAGAAGACAAAGTCTAGGGTTCACCCAAAGTAAGGAATGAGTATAAGAATCCCCCACCCCCCACGGTACTTCCCCATCCACAATACGGCTGGGACTACAAAGAACTATACCGTCAGAGCAGGGGTTAACAAGAAGTCTCATGCCTGCACAAGAGAAGTACAAAGCAAGTTGTCTTGGCACTGACCACAGTCAGTGTATGTTTGTGTCTGTAGAGGGGAAAGTGTTCTAAGAATTTACAACTATAACCTGATAATTTGTTACCAAAAACTGCACCTCATATAATTGGCAAGGTTGTCAAAGAAAATTTAAAATTGTGAAGTGAAGGTTAACCTGCTTGGTAGTGCTTCTAGGTAGCTGGAAGATGCAAATGTAAACCCTTCCTGTGAGGCTATGCCTTTATCCCAGGCCTCAAAAAAGTCCTGCTAACAATCTTTCCAAGATAATGACCAGAACACAAAGCCTAGCATGCAAGGGAAATAAAGTAGCATGCGTGAGAACCAGAAGAAACAATGGCAGAAAGATCCACAAAGACTTCAAACATAAAGATTATCAGAATAATATTCTGAAACAATTATGCTTCCTATGTTTAAGGAGAAGCCCTGGTGGTGCAGTGGTTAATAAGAGTTCAGCTGCTAACCAAAAAGGTTGGCAATTCGAATCTACCAGCCACTCCTTAGAAACCCTATGGGACAGTTCTACTCTAAGTGACAGCATGTCTGAAAAAGAACCAGAATGATTTTTAGAAAATAAAAAAATATAGCCAAATGTAAAACTCAACGAATGGGTTTAAAAGTTCAAGAGTGAATTAATGAACTGGAAGGTAAATCAGAAAAAAATTACTCAGAATGTAGCAAAGAGAGATAAAAAGATATAAAATGTAGCAGAACGGTTAAGAGACATGGGGCCTATAATGAGGTTTAACATGCATGTAATTTGAGAACCAGAAAAAGAGAAGAAGAATATGGTAGCGGTGATATTTGAAAAAAACAGCTGAGAATTTTCCAGAATTCATAAAAGATATCAATTTGCAGCCTCAAGAGGTCTCATGTATTCCAAGTAGAATCAATAAATTATACCTTATAAGATTGGGGGAAAAATAATTAAAATTCCAGACCCCCCAACAACAAAAAAAGAAAGTTGGGTGAAGGTCTTAGAATTTAAAGTGTACTAAGGTCCAGGAGGAACGTAAAACTACTGATCAACATAGTCTGATGCATGTTGTAATTTTTAAGGTAAGTATTAAAATAGAAAACAGTGTATAGCTTAAAATTTAGTAGAGGGGGAAATAAAATGATTAAAAAAAAAAAAGATCTAAAAGAAGGCAAGCAACGAGAGAAAAAGAAAATAGTTGGAACAAACAGAGAGCATAAATCAGGCTATCTTCCCTGTCACTCCACCAAAACTGTTCTTAGATCATCAATGTCCTCCACATTGGTAAACCCAGTCCTTAACTTACTCAACCTACCAGAAACATTTGTCACAAATGATCACTCTCCCCCTTTATACACTAGATTCACTAGGCTTCCAAGTTTTCTATTTCGCTGTTCCCACCTCCTTCTCTATTTCCTTTGCTGTTTGCTCATCTTCTCCTGACCTTTAAAAATTACAGAAACCCAAAGTCCATTCTCAGTCTTCTTCTCTACCTATCCGCCATCTCCTGGTAATTTTAATCTTATCCAGTCACTTGCAGTGACCAATACAATAGCTACTAGACACATTTAATTATTTAAATTTAAGTAATTTAAGATTTAATTAAATTTCAATTCCTCAGTCACATTAGCTGCATTTGAAGGACTCAATAGTCATACGTAGCTAATGGTTATCATATTGGATAGTGCAGATATAGAATATTTCTGTCACCAAGGAAAGTTCTATTGATCTTGTTGTTGTCAGCAGGTGCTGTCTAGTCAGTTCTGACTCATAGTGACCCTATGTACAAAAGAACAAAACACTGCCCGGTCCTGTTCATACTCACAATCATTGTTATGCTTGAGCCCACTGTTGCAGTCACTGTGTCAATCCATCTTGTTGAGGGTCTTCCACTTTTTCGCTGACCCTCTGCTTTACCAAGCATGATGTCCTTCTCCAGGGACTGGTCACTCATGATAACATGTCCGAAGTATGTGAGACAAAGTCTCAGCATACTTGCTTCTAAGTAACATTCTGGCTGTACTTCTTCCAAGAGGAGATGTGCTCATTCTTCTGGCAGTCCACGGTATATTCAATATTCTTTGCCAACACCATAATTCAAAGGCATCAATTCTTCGGTTTTCCTTATTCGTTGTCCAGATTTCACAGGCATATGAGGTGATTGAAAATACCATGGCTTGGGCCAGGTGCTCCTTAGTCCTCAAAGTGACATCTTCGCTTTTTAACACTTTTAAGATGTTTTTTGTAGCAGATTTTGCCAAAGCAATACATTGTTTGAGTTCTTGACTGCTGCTTCCATGGGAGTTGATTGTGGATCCAAGTAAAATGAAATCCTTGACAACTTCTGTCATGGATTGAATTACGTCCTCCAAAAAATGTGTGTATCAGTTTAGCTGGGCCATGATTCCTGGTATTGTGTGATTTTCCTATATGTTGTAAATCCTGCCTCTGTGATGTTAATCAGGGAGGATGGGTGGCAGTTGTGTTAGTAAGGCAGGACTCAATCTACAAGATTGGATTGTGTCCTGAGGCAATCTCTTGAGATATAAAAGAGAGAAGTGAGCAGAGAGACAGGGGGAACTCATACCACCATGAAAGCAGTGCTAGGAGCAGAGCATGTCCTTTGGACCTAGGGTCCCTGTGCGGAGAAGCTCCTAGTCCAGAGGAACACTGATGAGAAGGTCGACAGAGAGAGAAAGCCTTCCCCTGGAGCTGATACCCTGAATTTGGACTTTTAGCCTACTTTACCGTGAAGAAATAAATATCTCTTTGTTAAAGCCATCCACTTGTACTATTTCTGTTGTAGCAGCACTAGGTGCTTCATTCTTTTCCCTGTATATCATGATGTTGCTTATTGGTTCAGTTGTGAGGATTTTTGTTTTCTTTATGTTGAGGTGTAATCCATACTGATTTTCACAATTAAGTGCTTCAAGTCTTCTTTGCTTTCAGCAAGTGAGGTTGTGTTATCTGCATATCACAGGTTGTTAATGAGTCCTCCTCCAATCTTGATGTCGAGTTCTTTTTCATACAGTTCAGCTTCTTGGATTTTGCTCAGCGTACAGACTGAATAAATATGGTGCAAGAATACAACCCAGATGCACACCTTTTCTGATTTTAAACCACACAGTATCCCCTTGTCCTGTTTGAACGACTGCTTCCTGGTCTATATGCAGGCTCTGCATAAGCACATTAAGTGTTCTGGAATTCACATTCTTCGCAATGTTATTCATAATTTGTTATGATCCATATAGCCGAATGCCTTTGCATAGTCAATAAAACACAGGTAAACATCTTTTTGGTATTCTCTGCTTTCAGCCACAATTCATTTGATACCAGCAAGTATATCTCTTGTTCCACATCGTCTTCTGAATCCGGCTTGAATTTCTGGAAGTTCCCTATCGATGTACTGCAGCAACCGTTTTTGAATTATCTTCAGTAAAATTTTCTTGTGTGTGATATTAATGATGTTTTTCGATAATTTCCACATTCTGTTGGATGACCTTTCTTTGGAATGGGCACAAATATGGATCTCTTCCAGTTGTTTGGCCAGGTAGGCGTCTTCCAAAAATCTTGGCATAAACGAGTGAGAGCTTCCAGTGTTGCATCCGTCTGTTGAAACACCTCAACTGGTATTTCGTCAATTCCAGGAGCCTTGTTTTTTGCCAATGTCGTCAGTGCAGCTTGGACATCCTCCTTCAGTTCCATTGGTTCTTGATCATATGCTACCTCCTGAAATGGCTGAATGTCGACCAATTCTTTTTGGTACAGTGACTCTGTGTATTCCTTCCATCTTCTTTTGATGCTTCCTGCATCGTTTAGTATTTTCCCTGTAGAATCCTTCAATATTGCAACTCGAGGCTTGAATTTTTTCTTCCATTCTTTCAGCTTGAGAAATGCTGTGTTTTTCCCTTTTGGTTTTCTAACTCCAGGTCTTTGGATATTTCATTATAATACTTTGTCTTCTTAAGCTGCCCTTTGTAATCTTCTGTTCAGCTTTTACTTCATCATTTCTTCCATTCACTTTAACTACTCTACTTCAAGAACAAGCTTCAGAGTCTCTCCTAACATCCATATTGATCTAGACAATCACAACTTCCACATTAACATCCTCCAGTTTAAACTGTTTTTGCTGAATTTCAGACTTGCATATCCAACTTGCTACTCAACACTTCT